TAAAACTGCAACCTTTATGGCTCCAATTAGCAGTTAAAGCAAGAATTTTTAAGTCTCAGTATCTCGGTTTAAGAACAAGGCAATAAATATTGAAAATAATTAATGTTTCTGTTATATTGGAATGTTAACACATCTATTTAAAATCTTGTTTATCTCTTCCAGTAATAGAAATTACAGGTAAAGTGTGGGGGGGGAGGGAGGGGGGGAGGGGGGGTTGGGAGGTGAGCATCATAAAATGCTGCCCTTGTTCCTATAAAACTGTCATATGACAATTCCTCTGCCTAGAATACCACAGAACTGAAGTACTATATCTTAATTACTAATGTAGGATTTCCCCAACTCTTTATCAACCAAATATGTTCACCTGTCAGACTTTTTAAATCTATTTATTCTAATGGAGTGCATTATTCTGAAATTAATATATCTGGATCTTCACATTCATTTAAATAGTAAAAATGCACCTTCAGAAGTATCTCATTCTCCCTTGTCCTGTAATTATCCATTACCTACTGAATAAAGAAAGATCCTGTTTAAATTATTGTCTTCCCTAGATGGCTTTCATTCGCTTTTTTTTTTTTTTTTTTTTTTTTTTTTAACCCAAACTAAAAAGCTCCAAGAAAGCAGTTTTGTGCAGTCACAGTATAGACAGTGTTGGACATGTCTGTACTAACCAAAATACCCGTTACCTATTTTACAGGGAATCAGTCACCCCAGACAGTTAAAGACAAGTAAAGAAACTGATACATTTGTAAATACACCAAGAAAAGTATGAACCTATCCATAGTATAGCTCTTGATCAGTGGATATCATTGGCTAAAACAAATTCATGTTCACCTGTTGCAGGACCATTATGTGTGAAAACTCAAAGCTGTAAGTCACAGATAGCAATTCTGTAGGTTCTTTTTCTTTTGCATTTTCGACTAAAATGCAAAAGAAAAAGAACTTAATACGTTCAGTGCTTTTTTGCAAAGCACTGAACGTATTAAGAACATATGAACATTATAATTGTACATTTAAGTACAGATATATGTAAGACTTGAGAGTTTACTACTTCTATAACTGCTTTCTCTTGATAAATTTAATCTATGAGATCCCAAACTGAACATTAAATATTTTTGTTGTACTATAAGAGTCTAGTCTTGCTATGTAATTTTGCAGTTGAATGCTGTCTGCAGATGTTTTCCCTTTCTAGTGGGTGAAAGAGTAAGTTCTGAATTTTGGCCTGGTGGCTTATTTGTCCCATAGTCTTCATTAGAACTTGGTGTATTCTTTATTGTTCCATTAAGTAAGATATCTTCCAGGATGTGCCTAAGCATTTGCATTAAACTAAATTCAGGGACTGAAAATGACAAAGATAAAGCTGTAGTCAACTCAAAGTTCTGTGTGGATGGAGCAAGGAATCTTCTAAAAGGCCTGGTGGAACAGCCTAGGCAATCAAAAGTGACACTTTGGACTACAGAGTATTAATGTGGACTGTTCAGCTGTTTAAGGTAAGAAGTTTTTTCTTAAAGTCCTTTACTAAAGAACAAAGTAGCTGTCTTCTTAGGTGAAAGATAACAAATTAGAGAAAAATGAAAGCACAGCTAATTCCCTAATCATTTCAGGGTAAAACTTAGTATCGCATACTGTGAGAAAAGGGATTTAGATGTTCCAAGGTGTTTCAACATTTATATTGTCTCCTAGTATATATCTTAAAACCTAGCAATACTGTATTCTCTTTTATAACCCTTTATAGCATGGTTTTTATAGAGAGGTGATATAAATTCTCCTTTCCCTATTAACCTAACAGGTGAATAAATGGAGGGGAGGCACAGACCACAAACAATATTTTTTTTTGGACTGAGTTAAATTATACTCAGTTCATAAATTCTCTTTTCTTATGACAAATTTCAATATAATGTAGTTTTTATATTTTTAGATATTTTTAGCCTATTAGATTCGACTGGGTCTCAACAGTGTCTGAAATCCTGCCATTCTAAACAGCTTCCTTTGCATTTTAAAAGAAAACAATGTACATATGGCAAGTTAATTGGCAGCCAGAATGATTTGTAATTTTACATCTGAGAGAATAAGTGGAAGATAGATGATATGTCCTTGAAAGGAAATGGATAGTGTTCTCTGAACTGGAAAGCCTCAGTACCAAGAAAGCTGTTTTTTTTTTGTTGTTGTTGTTTTGATTTGTTTTGTTTTGTTTTCCAGTGACAAGTACTTGTTACTCATTGGATTTGGAAATTTTTATTTCCAGCATGTAACCTCCAAAACTGCAGCATAGTTAATTCTGATGTAATCAAAAAGCAATTATTTTAACACATTTCAATTGAAATTACATAACTAGAGAAACAAAAAGTAATATTAAGTTTTGAAAGGCTTAGCACAATTTCCTATTTTTTAATTTTAATTATTAGTGCAAAATGTCAGAAATAGCTAACACTGTAAATAATATTATCAATATATCTGTTCATGAAAATCTGTGCAAAGCTACTTTAAGTAACACCTATCTTTAAGTGCAAATGTTCATTTGCATCCAAGTGATGATTTTGGCCCTTCTGCAACCTAAACTAAAATTTAACTAGCAGTAAATAGGCTTTATAGTGTGCTTGATGGCCAGCTTAAGTATTATCAATGGTGTTGGTTGTCTTTAAAATGTCATAGAAGATGTAATATGTCCCTTCACAAACATTTTTTCTTTCTTTCTTTCTTTATTTTTTAAATTATATAGGAATCTATAGCAATAGCTAATCTTAATTTCCTGTCAAAGTGGTCCAATCAAAGGTGTGGTATATTTTATACAGAAAATCAAACTGTAACTTGGGAAAAAGGTGGAGTCTGAACCAGACAGATGCTTTGAAAACTCACTGAATAGGAAGAGTAATACAATTTGTATCTTCTGCTTCTCCTAATATTGATTTGGATACCAGATGCAACTTTTGATGTTGTTGACTTTATACCTCTGTGCTGGATGAGAGCATTAAGCCTGAATAGTAGAATCAAGTCTTTAAATGATAAATGGAATAGAATTTCAAATAAAGGCCATTTGCCATTTTAAATAAAATTTAATAATTTCAATAAAATACAATAAATAAATAGTTTTTTGTTTGTTTGCTTTTTCACCTAGTACCTTGATACCCTGTCTGATTCTCTATTCTTGGGTCTCAAGGAGCATTAACATGTCAAAATGTGGGCACTGAGCTGTTATTCTTGGACTTGTTGTTCCATGACTGTGACAAGATTTCTGGGTTCTGCTTTTCTACTTTTTTTCAACCATCTCACCCATATAATTATTATTGGTACATAAACTGCCAAGTAAATACAAAGTGCATATTTTGCTTCCAATAGAAGACTACATGTCATTGTCACGTAGTGGCAATCTTTAGTTTCCAGAAAATGGATGAAGAGATAATACATGTAGTCATTTTCCAGATGTTTGCTTTCCTCCCTGTGCAGATGTTTAATCTCAATGTATGTCATGACTTCTATTGGATTTCTGGCAGTTCAGCAGTTATGTAAATGTGGATCTGTTCACTCTCTGTAACCTGAGGAAAAATATATTCTTATTAACTTTGCGTGATCATTTCTAGGCATCACCTATTTTCCTGGAAATGTTTGGATAATCCTTTATTAAAGTACACTAACTTAGGAACACGATTAAGAAAATGTAGCAATTTTTAATGTGTGTAGTGCTTTTCCACTGTTCAAATGCTAGTTTTTACATAAGTAATTTATTTCACAGTTCTAATAGCTCTATACAAGTTGTTTAGTGCTATACATAAGAAAACCTGGTTTTAAACCTTTTCTGTACTTGTCTTTTATTAAATTTATTTATTGAATTTAACAATTGTAGCTTGATACTGATTTGTGTGTGTGTGTTAGTTTCTGAATGTCCCTATATTGTAACCTTTATCCTACTATTTGCTTCAACTTTGTGACTTCTTCTATGATGCTTGTTCCAATTTCTGGACTTGGATGACTACTTTCTAACAGAGAAATATATGAAATGTAATCTGCATCAAGGGCAAATGTTTGTCTCTCTTGATTCTGAGGAAATGAGGAAACCTGAAGACAAATGTAGCAGGAATAATGATGCTAGACTTTATCTAGTTGACTTGGAAAAGGGTATGTCTCTAATTGAATACTTTGGTTAATGGAAACTGTTTCTTTCAGTTTAGCATTTTGCTGAAGTATTTACATGATGAAAACTTGAGTTCACACGTTGAAATAGCAATCTGTCTATCATACAATGCTGAACTTGAAATAGAAGCAGCAGCAGTTAACCTTTCAATGAAATTGAAATTCAAAATGTTTTCTCTATCTTTTCTGCTTGAGAGCCGATTCATTCAGCAGATATAGCTAGGTTGCTACTGTTACAATGGTGGAGGCAGAGCATCTCCCATTGCAAAGTAGTGTAGTTGACAATATTGTAGAGAAGGGTACTATCCCTTAGTTTCTGCAACAAAGTAGTGCATGCTTTAAAAAGTTTGCCATCCCTTCATAGAAACGCATTAGTACTTTTTCTGTTAGTTCCTAAGGACTGAAGTAAGAGCTGATCAGCCACAAGTTCATAAAATTTTATTCTCAGATGTATTGTAAAGCCTGTATATCACTATAAAGATCTTCTAGACATTTAAAAATGTTACTGGAGTATTTCAGTATCTATGTAACTTGACCTTTTAAGAAAATGGCTCAATATTCATTCTCTTGTGACAGAGAGTAAGAAATGGGGAAATGATATTGAATTAATCTTATTACAGGTTGGATACTAGACTTTTCATTCTTATTACCTGATGTTTCCAGTTCTTTGTATTTACAGAGATTTTATTCATGTTAATTTAGCTTATATGAAGAAACTGAGCATTTTTATTGTGTTCATATATAATTTTTTTTTCCTGCAAGACCCTTAACTGTGAATAAAAATTAAGTAATCCTTTAGATGTACAGGTGGTGTCTAATGCCTTAATTCCCAGTGTTCATGATTCTGTTTTCTCGTTAATGTAAAAAATACTAGATCTCAGCAGGAACGGATTCTCAGTGAAGTTTGCATCTGTCCTTCCTGATCATTTGCCAACAAGGTGATACCACTCCTAGCAAATAGGTGGGTGTTGCAATTCTTACTGTAGCAATAATTTGTACCTGCTCCTATAATTTTCAGCTTCTTTAATGGTAACAAATGCAGCCACAGTTGTATGACTTTCTTTGATTAAATTAGTATATTATCCTCTGAACCACCCTGGCACTTCCAAGAGTCTGGCAGATTCAACAGAAGAAAAATAATCCAGAAAAGGGCAGAGTCAGTCACTAATCCTCAGGTGTCAAATTTTCTGATCATATCAAATACCAAGCATAAATATTAAAATATGCAGAGTAGGTTATTATCAAGAGCACTTTTTCTATAATGAACTGTTAAATTACCTTCTATACAACACTGAGTATCTTTATGCTCCTCCTTAACTCTCTGCTTGTTCCCTAAAGAAACAAGTTTCCTCATGTGTCTGAGTGTCAGAGCTCTTAGACCACTTCTGCCAAGTCAGATAAAAGAATAGCCATTTCCAAATGTTTAATTTATCTGGAAGTAGAAGTTTAAAATTTTCAGGTATGCAACTAGAAGAAGTAAAGTAGTACTGGAAAAGCTAGGTCATGGTCAAACTAGAGCATGTGTATATAGAAAACCAGACTTTGGTAATCCCAGAGCTCACAGAATGATGACTAGTTGTGGAATTGCATTGGACTACTTCCTAAGTTTTGCTGCTGAAAAAGTCTTTGAAGAACCTGTATCTTGAGTACTATCTGCCACTTGAGGAATCTTTTTGTTATTTGTTATCATTCACACATCAGGCTTAATTTTTCTCTCTCTCTCTCTCATAAAGTCTCCTATCTACTCATGTCCATGCCTAAATAAATAAATAAATAAATAAATAAATAATAGTCTCTAGTGTTTGGAAAGCTCCAAGCTTTCCTTTAGGAATATTAAAACCAGTCCTTCTTCCTTATAGCATGGGAGGGTAATACAGTTGGTAAAGCTAGACGATACACATTGTTTGGGGGGACTGTAGGGAAAAATTGTCTGTCAGCCTGGAGCTATGATAGTGATTCTGCTAAGGCTTCCCAAGTTGCCTCTCAGTGTTTGAGGAATATCTCTATTTCCCTGCCTCTTGATGAGCAGTTGTTTCTTGGAGTTCTATGCTGAGTGTAAGGATGGCTCCCTTGGGAACCATCAAGTGTTCCTAACCTGTTTATTTCTTGAAACTGGATAATATGCTCTATCAATTTAGACATTCTTGCCTTTCTTAACCAGTTAGTTCATAACTGGTTTAAATAAGACAATATGAACTGGCTTGTCTTAATGGAGTCTCTAATAGCTTAACATTAAATCTATGCTCCAGTTTGAATTACCAGCTCCACTTCCTGTAGAGAAAGGGAACACTATTCATCTAGATTAACTGTCAAGGATGGAGGTGGGTGTTGTTCCATATCGTTGCATGTGATTTCACAAGGACTTTTTCTGACTTGTATTTCTTACTTTGTCACATATTTTCAGTAAGACCAATTTTCTTTTAGTGTCTGTATAAATTTGCATGCAACTAATATAAAAAATTTCCACAGGTAAGCCTTCAGTAACCAGCTTTGGCATTGCTGTCCGAATAATTTGTAACTGTCATGCTGCTTTCTCATCATGTCTTTGTTGCTATGTGTTTTTCTGAAAAGCAATAAATCTAATCTAGAAGTGACATTCTTCTCTGCATGATGGAGAGAGAAATAACGTTTGGGTATTTTTTTTTCTTTCATTATTAAGACAGTTTGCACTTCTATAATTTGCTTAAACAAATGAAAGAAATGATAAGCAGTGAGTAACAGAGTAGCAGGTTCCCTAGGGAAGGTTTCCCTTCAACCTTCCTGAGTAAGAGAGAGGAAAAAAGTCCTTCATGTATGAATAGTATTTGGATGAAACACTATAATATTCCAGTCCATTTCACTTCATTGCGTGATGGTGACAAATACCCAAGCATAAAACTTGAAAAGATTAGTTTTCCTTCTGAAATTGGATTACACACAGTTCTTGAGTATATGAATGCATACGCAGGGGGAAGGAAAAAAAAAAAAAAAAGAAAAGAAAAAGAAAAAATAAAAAAAGAAAAAATAGAAAAAAAAAAGGGGGGGAGGGTTGATTTAAGGACTCAGTATTCATTTGTTTTGCCTGGGTTCAAGTGTTCAGAACCATCATTATCTACCAGCTTTCCACCTGTTGCCAGCTGGCCTACCTGGAACTGTAAGGAAAAATATGGTAAAATCCTCCATGTGTATTTTAAATAAATAACTTGGATTTTTTTTCCCAACAGTGTGTCTCTTCCTCACAATTCCATTAGTGAATAGCATATATTAAGCATATATGTTTGACCCAATACTTAGAACTAAATGTCCTTTAGTTTCAGAGTTAGAGATGAGAATAATTAAGTCATATAAAAAATAAATTTTGAAATGCTATATTTTTAGTGTTCACTTTAAGCCTAAATAAGATTAGGCTTTATGATCATGTAAGCATGACCATTTAAACTGACATTTCCAAAGGTGATTGCGGTTAATACACTGAGAACAAATTTCTTAAATAGGTACAGTAGATGGATTTTATTTATTTTCTTTCCTCTGTAGCAGAGATATCTAAGGACATATGCTCTGCCTGCTCTAAATGCCATCAAAACTTCCAGTTTACAGAAGAGCATGCAATCATGTTATTATAACATAGTGTTTTAATAATTGCCATCTGACTAGTGGTAACTTGAATAACGTTTCAATTCTAAATGAAGAAAAAAGAGCATTAACTTGAAAGGTTTTGTTAAGTGCATTGTTAATTTCCATAGACCAGCATTGCTATGCTCTCATTAGAAGAGATGGAAGGAGGTCCCATTCAGTACTGACTGCTCAAAGTTCTGAAAAATTGCAAACATAGATATTTTAGGGGTTTATTGGTTTAAAATAAAAATTATTAACACAAAGTCAAATATTTTGATGCAGTAACTGTCTGGAGGCTATGTGTCACAAATGTTAATCACTTATATCTAAACAGTTTCATGAACCGTTAGAAAACCACTGTGCCATTATAAGTAGAATGTTAAAGGCCTATGTGCAGGAGAAAGGTTTTGTTTTGTTTTGTTTTCCTGTAAAAATACCTAACAATTATTCTTGTTTCTCTTCAAACTGCTGTTTGCGAAACAAGGCATTAACATGTTAAGGAACTATAAACTTATCATAGAAACATAGAATGGCTCAGATTGGAAGGGACCTTAAAGGTCATCTAGTTTCAATTCCCCTGCCATGGGCAGGGATGCCACCCACTAGATAGCCAGATATTTTTAAAGGGTTTGAAACTAAGCACTATGAGTATGCACTACAGAAAAGTGTTTGCTTTTGGAAGTTAACTCTAATGCATATTGCTGTCAGGAGTTCATCCTTTGTATGTTGACTGTAATTGCATTTGTTTAAGGCTCTCATAGCTTAATTTTTACTGACACTTGTGTGATTCAAACTTCATTAAAAGAAAGGAAAGCAGAAGTTCCACTGGATGTCAAAAGTGACTGTAATTCAGAAAGAAAGCATTATTTTTAAAATAAATTCCTGATGGGAAGGAATTACATAGAATACACTGAAGTAATTTTTCAGTAATAAATGCCATCACACATGATAGAGTGCTGTCCTTGGTAATGGCAAATTCAGTGTTTCTGCTTCCTTATGTATTCAGACAGTATTAGCTGAACATTATTAATATTCTATGCTAGTTAAATGAAAGCATTTCTGTTGTAGGAAAGGTTAAAAGGTTGAAGTCTAAGGAAGTGGAAAACAGTGACTGGAACATTCCCGTCATCATGCCTTCCTGTTTAGAAGTATTCAAGGAAGAAATTTTTTGTTTGCTTATTTCTTTGTTTGAAGTTTGATGGTTTATTTTAAAAAAATATAGTGTGGTTTGGCCCAGTAGGCAGATAAGCACCACAAAGATGCTTGCTCACTCCCCTTGCCCTTGCCCTTCCCTCCCCCTGTTCTCCCTGAGTTGGATGGGGAAGAGAATCAGGAAAAAAAAAAGGTAAACGCTCATGGGTTGACATAAAGACAGTTCAATAAGACAAAAAAGGGAGGGATAATAATAACATACAAAGCAATTTATGTGCAATGCAATTGCTCACCACCTGTTTATTGATGCCCAGCCACACCCCAAGCAGTGGGGGATCGGCTAGGGAGGTCCCTCCCTAGCGAATCCTTTCAGTTGTATTCTTCAGCATGACACCAAAGGGATATCCCTTTGGCCAGTTTGGGTTAGCTGTCCTGGTTCTGTCCCATCCCAGCTTTTGGTGCAACCACAGCTTCCTTGCTGACAGGACTGTAAGAGAAGTTGAAAAATCCTTAACTTTGTTTAAGTGCTGCTCAGCAACAACTAAAACATTGGTTTTAGCATTATTCTCATCCTAAATCCAAAACACAGCACCATACCAGTGGAAGAACACTAACACTATCCTAGCTGAAACTAGGATATATAACAAGTTAAAAAAATGGGAATAATCCTTCCACTGCCTCAGCTTCTTACCACAGTGCTGTGAATGGTTGGACAGGGCAGGGCTAGGAGGAGACTGCAAACAGAATTCTTTGGCTTTGGTAGGATGTTGACAGATGGCGCTACAAAAAAAAAAAGAAAAGGGGAATATGTGATACCACACACACAATACCAAATATGAGCTTTCCATGTCACAGAAGTCCCCTTCATTCATCAAGAAGATTCACATCTGCAGAAAAAGAGTGAGGCAACCTCCTGTCTGAGAGTGTCCTGGAGTATGAGGCAAACTCCAGTCATCCCACTGCTACCCAGAGATGTGTGAATAGGTATATGGTGGAGAGCTTCCCAGCACTCAGCTGTGATATTGCTATACTCATCTGCTGTCTTTGCCTCATCTTGGATTTCAGCTGATAAACTTCTCTAAGCATGCAGCAATGGGCAGGAGGGAGGGATGAGCAAAAACGTTCCCTGCTGATATCTCCCTTCCACTGCTGCTGGACAGCAACCTCTGCTACGAGATGTTGAGCTCTCAAGATTTATTTGTATTATTCTGGTAT